TAAGGAGAATCTACATTTGATTTTTATTGATTTAGAAAAAGCTTACGATAAGGTTCCAAGAAATAACCTTTGGAGATTTATAGAATTTACTTCAATGCATATAAATCTTTTTCTAATATTGCAAGCTTTCTTTGTTGGTCTATGGACTATTGGGTTTGGTCTTTTTCAGTAGAAATTATGTTGATATCGATGTGGTGATTGTTGACCTATAAATGTCCTCTTAGGCTTCCGGGTTGAAAAAAACTATGACTATTAGTACACTAAGCCGGAAGCCTAAGAGCATCTTGGGTCCGTTGACTATTAGTACACTAATTCCGGGTTGAGGAGGTCTACATTGGAGTCTAAAGGCCTTCGTTTAAGTAGAACTAAAACTGAATACATGGAATGTAATTTTAGTAGTAATAGCTCTAGTGACAGAAGTGTGACTTTGGGAGATCAAATAATTAAAAGGTGTGAACGATTTAGATATCTTGGGTCTGTTGTTCAAAGCGATGATGACATAGATGGGGATGTTAATAGTAAAATTCAAGTTGGTTGAAGATGAGAAATGCTTCGGGCCTTTTGTGTGATAGAAAAGTACCGCTTAGACTGAAAGGAAAATTTTATAAGACGGTGGTGAGACCTGCAATGCTCTATGGCGTTGAATGTTGGCCTTTAAAAGAGAAGCATAATAATAAGTTAAGTGTTGCCGAGATGAGAATTATTATGTGGATGAGTGGCTTTACACTTAGAGACAAAATGCAAAATGAATATATCCATGATAGGGTTGGTGTAGCTTTTGTGACGGACAAAATTAGAGAAAGTCTTCTTATATGGTTTGGTCACATTAAACGTCGACCATCTGATGATCCGACTAGAAGAGTAGATGTTTTAGATTCGACTTGTGTTAAGAAAGACAGAGGTAGACATAGGAAGACTTGGGCTTATTGTATAAAAAATGATCTTAATTTACTAGAACTAAATGAAAGTATGACACTAAATAGGACGCAATGGAGAAAAATGATTCATGTAGCCGACCCCACATAGTGGGATTAAAGCTTCTTTGTTGTTGTTGTTGTTGTTGTATACTTACATTTCAAATCCAACAAAAATTCAATTTGCTCTTAAACCTTTTGACCTGTAATTGTGAAGCTTACATTTCTTTAATAAACTCAAATTATTAAGCATCCAGTTTGCCAAACTTGTGAAATTTTGATTCAAAGCACCAACTAAAATTATTTTATTACGAAACAATATTCAATATCAAATATCATAATGTTCAATCAACTCAAATCATCTCTTTTTCCTGAAATTCAACATTTTCTATCCGAAAACATATTTTAAACTTTGATGATCAATAAATATTACATATTTCACCCTATACAAATAGTATTTTAATTCCTCTAAAACAAATATTACAACTGGTAGTGTCATATCATGAGTTGGATAATTTTCTTAATTTCATTTTAACTTTCAACTGCCTTAACGTAATAGCAAATGCCACTTTCATTCTGCATTAAGATACATCCTACTACTTTCAAAGATATGCTACAAGAAAGCCAATTATAATCGACAAAATTTTCCCCTAAAAGTTTTTTACTAAACTTCTGGCAGACTAGTATGTCATAAAAGTTTCTGACACAAAAATTCATTGAAATGTAATTCACTTGTCTGCGACAAGTTTTCAAGATGAAATAAATTTTTTGAACTATTGAATCTATGCATTTA